AGTTTATCACCAACAAATAAAGATTCAACACTTATGAATACATCTTCAAATTTGAATATGACGCAAACAGCTACATCTCATCATGAACAATATCAATCAATTAATGACGATCTTTTTCTAGCATTAAATGATGTTTCATCATCAGTTAATAATATGATATCATCATTAACATTTTCTAAGACAGTTACAAATTCAACGCATGATTGTATATATCCATGGAGGAGACCAGGTATTCATAAGTTAATTGAGAAAAATGATGTACTGAAAATGCATAAATGTAACATATAGAAATGATTAACATTTGTATCATTATTTTGTTTATTTATAATTACTAGGTAGTCCTTCTTTTTTTCTCCTTATAGAATTTAATTTTGAACATAAACGTAGCCGAACAGGTTATATACATCATCAACGACGTGAATTAGAAAGAGAATTTCATATTAACAAGTAAGAAAAGAATATTTTTATATTTATTTATAAATATTAATAGATATGTACCACGTTGGCGACAAATTGAAATTGGTCGTAGGCTTGCATTAACTGAACGACAAATTAAAGTAATAAAATCTTGTTTTTTTATGTTAATCTATTCATTTTCTTTGTTTAGATTTGGTTTCAAGCCCGGTAAGAATAAATCACGAGGTTTTTAAAATTTATTTATGGTTTTTTCTTTTACATTAGTCGACTGAAATGGAACCATGATAGAGTTAAATCACGCAATAATCCACATGTTGAACTCGAAGCAAAGGCAACAAATCATGGTCGAAATCATCATTCATATGCTATATGAACTAATGATACATCATGATCATCGATATCAAATGTTAAAAAAGAACATAACCATCTATATAACAACAATGAAAATAATGCATACATATTTTACTATATATATATAACGACTTTTGACTACTAGTCGATCGCAATAGAATACATGCTCTTCGTGTTGTTCTTTAAAGATTAAAAAAATAAATTTGCAATGGATTGTCAAATATTGTTTTATTAAAGCATTCGTCACCTAAATTTCTCGATGCTTCAGTTAATGCTGCACGACAGAAAGAGGATTTAAAGAGCTTATACAATGTATCAAGAATTTGAAAAATAAACCGATAATTGTTTATCGAGATGTTGTATAGACGCCGACAAAAAAGTGTTGTGATAAAATCTATTCATCGATATATTTAAAATAACGAAAAGAATTACCAGTTCTTACTCCGATGCAAAAATACGGTCCGTATTTCACTGTAAACAGCCGTTTGAGATAAAGTTACGACGAAAAACAAGAACAATCGTAACTTCCATTCTGGGTATACAAGATTTGATTTTATAGTAATAATATCCTGTTAGTTTTTTGAGCCGTTTCATATAGCAATCGAAAATTGTGCAATATGTTTAAGGAAGAGAGATCTTTAAGATAATTTTACATGTCGATGTTCATTGGCATAGCTAAGTATTTGCTTAATAATTTCAATGAACAAGAAGAACAAAAACTTTGTTATTATTAAAATCCAACCACACCTTCGAAGTAATGGACTTTTCAATATCTTATGTGTGTCTTTTTTCATTTGCAACTTTTGAAATTGAATATTTTAGCAAAAGATGCTCTATGAAATTCTCTGCAAGATATTATTTGAGTAAAACGATTTTTCCAAGATTTAATGTTAAACTATATACTATACCGATCATGTCAAAATGTAGACGTCTAAGGTGTTCGAAATTGCAATGTATTATTATATTAATCTTAGGAAAATTCGTCTTGCTCAAATATTATCTTGTAGGAAATTTCATAAGGTGTTTTAGCTAAAAGATTCAGTTCAAAATGTTGCAAATAAAAAAAGACATACATGAAATATCGAGGGTTTCATTTCTTCGAAGAATTTATGAAAAAGTCGAAATACACACAATCTTAATGTTACTGTTTCTGATGTAAGATAAATTAAACTCCTAGAATGTTTATGAACAACATGAGAATGAAAATAAAATCAATGCAAAAACTTTTGTACCACGCACTACTCATCTGGAAGTGATTTCTTCAAAAAACTATGCGTCATTCACTGTTGTTCGAGGAGCGAACAGGCATTTTTTTTTTGAGCATATGAATATATGAAAAAATTCTTTTGTAAATATATTAGAATTATAGAAATCTATTTGTGAAAAATTTTTGACATGTCCGAACTGGATTCAAGTGTAATCACAACATCCAAACAAACAGACACAATAGTAAGTATGTAACATTTTTATATGTCTTTTGAAATTTTCAATAACAAACGAAGGCTTTTTTGGAAAGGACAAATCTAGCTGAATTTCTTTGATATCGTATTATAGAAAAACTTTGAGAGTTATTCTTTAATTTTAACAGGAAGATATTTAAAAAAAAATATTTGTAACTTTGAACATTGTTCAAATGTAATTTTATTTATTTTCTATTTAGAATAGTGATGTAGAAGAAAGTGACAATAATGATATGCTTGACAATGATGATGAATTCATTGATTTTATTCCTTGTAAGCTGTTTTTCGATTTATTACAAAAAAGTTTATTGATTAATTTATTATTTTAAAGCTCCTTACGTGGATAAAAATGAAGTTCAAGATATTGATTCATTATCGAAATGTTTTGAACAACGTCACAATAATTATCTTATGTTTTTCATGGTCTCTCTTAAAGATGCATGTCAAGCAGCTTTCGGTCCAATTGTACTTCAAGAAGTTCGTTCAGATAGTTTTTCTTCTTACATAAAATACTTTGATCTTTCATATTTCAGCGTCGTCCAGTACCTGTTGACAAACATCATAACAACAATCAATTTAGGGAAAAATTTTATGAGCCATGTTTTATTCAAGTACGATTATCGATTATTTAAATGTAACTTATGTTGTTTGGCCACATGAAATTACTTCTGAATCCAACAGATATTTTATTTAGGTTAACAAAAATTTAAGAAATATTTTCTACTCAATTGTTTGGTACTTTTTCCATTGAACAATGTCCTTTACTGATTGGAGTTATGGGACTATTCGAACTGAAAATAGATAGTATAGTAACATCTGAATATCAATTAAAATCATTCATTAAAGGTAATACTTTGGCATGTACTCGAATGACAATTAATCGTGAAAATCTATTGAATGAATTGGATATTTTCAAAGAAGAATATGATAAAAATGAACAAAATTTAGTGAGTGTTTTTTCATGCATATTTTTAATATGAAAAGTATTCGTTTAGTCGTTTAGTTTCGTTAAAATAACTGGACTTTGTTGCGAAATTATCCTTGAAAGAAGTCAATATCTTTCATTGGATGATGCAATTTCGACATTCTCTATTGATATTCTTCCTTTATTAAATAATCTTCAATCAAATCTTTGTCATCCATTTATTAAAATGATTCTTCGAAAAATCAAATTTGAACAAATTATTTCATTAGAATTCAATACAGGTCGATCATAGTCAAAGACTGAATTGGGCTTTTTATCTAATTTTAATAACGTCACTTCAATAACACTTCATAATTCACCATACGCAAATCAAATTAGTGAATATATTAAATGTTTTCCCAATTTGACCCGTCTTTCTCTCTATTATGATGATAAAGTTAATTATTATATATTAAG